AAATCTCTAATTTCTCATATTATCGACAAGCTGTGAGTAGGACAATTTCCGGAACGAAATATATCGCAATTTCCTATTTCCAACAATTAGTATAATACCAACAATTATTCTCAAATTGTCCCCTTAAAGCCATCCGGAGTTGTATTTTTCTGGATTCCATATTCCGTACTTAAAGGGCACATAAATGCCACTTGATTTTGTCCGTAGGCGTTTCCTGTAAGGATAAGATTGGGAGAATTTGGTGGAAAGCGAGGGCAAATTTTGGGATGTTCTTTTGTTGTTGACATGTGACTCTAGTGGCGATGTAACATCACAAATGGGAGATGCGTTTATGATCATGTCTTTCTGGGAAAAAACGGATTTGAGGCAATCGTTTTACAGAGTTCCTGTTCATGTTTTTTCGTTTCTGTACGTGTCCTAGTATGTTTTCTCTGCCGGTTTCTATTTTACTTTATTGTTTTTCGTTTCTTCCTTTTTTTTTAAAATTCATGCTTTCTTTACATCTGCCATATTATTTCTTTAGTTTTGGTCGTTGTTTTCTTTTCTTCATTTTTTTCCATGAATACGATACATCTTTCCAAATTATTTTGTTTAACAAATTTTACCATTTTTTTCTTCTACTTCTTTCTTTCTTTCATATTTACTGTCTTTATAATTCTTTTACCTCCTTCTTTGTCTTTCCTTCCATCCTTCTTGTAGATTGTTCTGCACGTTTTATCTCATCTATGCTCTTTATTTAATGTGTGTCCTTCTTTCTTTCCTTCTTTCTTTCTTACATTTTTTCTTTATACGGTCTCTTTCATTGTCACTTTCTTTCTGTCTTTCTTGTTTCTGTTTTTCCTACTTTCGTTTCTCGTTTTTATAAGTTTTTCATAACTTCTTTTATTCACTCTTTCTTTAATTCTCTCTTTCTTTAAGTTTTTTTTTTTTTTTTATATAGGGAAGGTGAGTGACCTTGCCTCCTGCGATTTTACGGTTTTAATTCTTTCTTTTCTTATCTATTTATATCTGTTTCTGTTATGTGACTTTGTAGTTTATCCTCTTCTGAGGAAGAGTGTAGAGACATCACAGTTTCTTCTATTCCTTCTTTCATTCACACATTCATCCATTCATTCATTCAATCATTCTATTCTTCAAACACACAGACACTTACTCTCACACACTCACTCACTCACTCACTCAAACACACACATACTCGCTCATTGACTTGCACACTTACATCCTCACACATAAACACTTATACACTCATACACTTCCTCCCTCTCACCCACTCACTCACTCATACAAATGCACACTCACACACGTACACATACTCGCTCACTCACATGCTCATACACACACACACATATATATACACCCACTCGTACACTCACTTAATTACTCATTTATACACTTATTCACTAACTCCCCTTCTTCTTCTTCTTCTTCTTCTTCTTCTTCTTCTTCTTCTTCTTCTTCTTCTTCTTCTTCTTCTTCTTCTTCTTCTTCTTCTTATTCTTCTTCTTCTTCTTCTTCTTCTTCTTCTTCTTCTTTTTCCTCTTCTTCTTCAACTTCTTCTTCTTCTTCCTTCTTCTTCTTCTTCTTCTACTACTTCTTCTTCTTCTTCTTCCTCTCCTTCTTGTTCTTCTTCTTCTTCTTCTTCTTCTTCTTCTTCTTCTTCTTCTTCTTCTTCTTCTTCTTCTTCTTCTTCTTCTTCTTCTTCTTCTTCTTCTTCTTCTTCTTCTTCTTCTTCTTCTTCTTCTTCTTCTTCTTTTTCCTCTTCTTCTTCCTCTTCTTCTTCTTTTTCTTCTTATTCTTATTCTTCTTCCTCTTCTTCTTCCTCTTCTTCTTCTTCTTCTTCCTCTTTTTCTTCTTCTTCTTCTTCTTCTTCTTCTCTTCTTCTTTTCTTCTTCTTCTTCTTCTTTCTTCTTCTTCTTTCTTCTTCTTCTTCTTCTTCTTCTTCTTCTTCTTCTTCTTCTTCTTCTTCTTTCTTTTTTCTTCTTCTTCTTTCTTCTTCTTCTTCTTCTTCTTCTTCTTCTTCTTCTTCTTTTTCTTCTTCTTCTTCTTCTTCTTCTTCTTCTTCTTCTTCTTCTTCTTCTTCTTCTTCTTCTTCTTCTTCTTCTTCTTCTTCTTCTTCTTCTTCTTCTTCTTCTTCTTCTTCTTCTTCTTCGGTCTTCTTCTTCCTCTTCTTCTTCTACTTCTTGTTTTTCTTATTATTATTATTATTATTATTAATATTATTATTATTATTATTATTTCTTCTTTTTTATCGTCATCTTCTTCAACCTGCTCCCAAAAGACATGAAAAATGTCATTTATATTATGTATGAGGCGCCATTCGTGTTAAAAATGGTCAACTTATTTGTCAAACTGTTGCTTTACACATGCCAATAAATTACAATCATGTGAATAGGCGGAAAGGTGGCAATCTATTTAATCAATCTTCCCCAGCCGACAAGGCAAATATGATCCCATTTCACAAATTTTATCTTGTTAATCATTTTTTTTTTTTGTTCTTCAGCTGCAGACGAGACATGTCGTTTCCCAGAATTCCTACAAAGTTACCCAACGGAAGGCCCTATCAAACCGTGGACCTCCCGGATGTGGTGGCTCTACCTACGGCATGCACCAAAATGGGCTGAAAAACAGGATATTTATGTCAAGGTGAGATTTCTGTGACCTCTTTCTTTCTCTCTCTCTCTCTCTCTCTCTCTCTCTCTCTCTCTCTCTCTCTCTCTCTCTCTCTCTCTCTCTCTCTCTCTCTCTCACTCACTCTCTTTCCCAGGGCTTTTTGTGTTCAGTCGTGACCATTTATTGCTTCTAACAATAGTAAACTGTTGTATTGACTGAATAACTCATTCATTGAACTCTATACCTAACCGATGACTGTCCCTGCCATTTCAGAACGGTCAGATCTGGCGTTACAGAGAAAACAACCTCCAGGAATGCGAGAACTCCCACAAGAAGGTCTACCATAAAACAAACTTTGGCGGTTGCTCGGAGCGGCAGCTTGTCTACAATCGGACTTGTATCCACGAAGCAGGATTTAACACCTTCAGGATCATTGAGTACAACGCCGACAGGTATGCCGACGTCCGGGTCGTTTTTGTGCTTACTGTCATATGTCCCCTTGTTCTTGCTGTTTCTCTTATGTTTTTTTTTTTTTTAGTGATTAGTGATTAGAAAGGATTATCTTCACAGCACGCCAGGCAGGTCTATAGATGCTCCAATCTTCCCCTCAAAATATTCACAAGTGTAAAACGACTGATGACGCCTGTTCTGTGCTGGTTAATGAAACGTCTTGTTCCCATAGTCGAATATTCATTTATTGCAGCTCTAGGCTGCTGCCCCATGTCTGTCAGTCTGTGATGAGGATCTCAGCTCAAACGCACGTACTCCATCGCGTAAACAACAACCCTGGACTATTACTGCTGCTGCTGCTGCTGCTGCTGTACTATTGCTGCTACTGCTGAAACTGCTGCTGCTATTAGATCTGCTACTGTTACTATCACTTTTACTAAATGTACTATTGTAACTACTATTTTACTACAACTACCAATCATGCAATCGGGTAAGCGTTGTTCCAAGCTGATGGGAAAATAGTGTGATGAGGTGCTTAGCATGGTCTCCACACGTACATTGTGGCCAGCAGAAACTCCGTGCGACAAGCGACCGCATGAGATACTTGTGACTGGTTGAGTAAGCGAGGGGAAGCCTGAGCTGGACTTGTGGTCAGTTGGTTACCAGAAGTCGTAGAAGACGGTTGTGTTAATAGAAAAGGTAGTTATAATGTCGTGTAAATGACCAGTGTCGGAAGCGATGGAAGTGTGAATAATCGTTGCAGCATGTGGAATAAATGCAACAGAATAAACTGACAGCATGAACAAGTAAGCTGAGCGGCGTTTGTCTTATCAATCCTAGACGTTAGAGCAGTAGAAGTAGATACGTTGTAGTAGTCGTGTAAAGCAGAATAGTGGCAAAAAGCAAATTCGTTGCAAGCAGCCACGTTACACGAGTAACCCATTCGTTGCCCCGTTCCTGTGAAGGAAAAAAAAAAAAAAACATACAAAACATCCAACACTAACCCGTGTGAAAACTACTGACACGTATTGCAGTCTTACTTCTTCTTTTTCTTCTTTTCGTTCACCAGCTGTAAACTCTGGCGGAAGGTTCTGGTTGCTCGTCCACTACTGAACTGCAGTCCTGCTCCAGAACCTGAGTGTTGCGTGTGCATCAGTTTTACAGATCTCATTCTCTTGAATACAGACTGTTGGTTCCTTGCCTCTCCGGCAGATGCACTCCGACTTCAAAGGAAGCTCCCCAATTAGTCGACTCTTACGACATGCTTTTGGGGAGGCAGTGGGTCTATTCTTGTTTTCCCCACAATGGGGCCCGGAACCCACACGGGGGACAGTCTTACTAAATCAAACAGCATGCATACGCATTAAATTCATAAGGTGGAGGTCAGAAGAGCCATCAAAAACAGTCTGATAATATAAATGCAGTTCATCGTCGATAGAAGCCCCAGTTACAATAGATCGGTAGCTGTACACGCATTTCATTGAATAAGGCACCACAGTTTTAAGGCAACAGGCCACTGACCATTTTCTGAATCTTCACTTCACAACACAAACCACGGTGGGCACATGCGAGAAGGGACTGGAAAGAAATTAGCAACTCGTGTCGCCCCATGCAATAAAATCAGTAGCTGGGTGTGACTAACTACACTACTATACATGCTAAAGCTACTGCTAACAGTTCTATATCTACCACTTTTGTTGCTTCTATTACTACCGTTGTTACAACTCACACCGTTACTACTGAATCTACTATTACTATTGATATCAGCATAATTACTATTGGTAATACTACTACAGAAAGAAAGAAGAAAGAAAGAAAGAAAGAAAGAAAGAAAGAAAGAAAGAAAGAAAGAAAGAAAGAAAGAAAGAAAGAAAGAAAGAAAGAAAGAAAGAAAGAAAGAAAGAAAGAAAGAAAGAAAGAAAGAAAGAAAGAAAGAAAGAAAGAAAGAAAGAAAGAAAGAAAGAAAGAAAGAAAGAAAGAAAAGAAAGAAAGAAAGAAAGAAAGAAAGAAAGAAAGAAAAAGAAAGAAAGATAAAAAAAAGAAAGAAAAAGGAAAGAAAGAAAGAAAGAAAGAAAGAAAGAAAGAAAAAGAAAGAAAGAAAGAAAGAAAGAAAGAAAGAAAGACAGAAAGAAAGAAAGAAAGACAGACAGATAGACAGACAGAGAGACAGATAGACAGGCAGACAGAACATCTTTCCCGTGATTCCTCGGTACGATCGATACATTCAATATTCTAAACTTTCTTCACAGCAGATTCATTAAGAATAATTGTACGTTTAGGGTCCGTGATATTATCCTAGTTTCCCCAGCTTCCGTGTGTACCACCAAAATGTGAGAGGTCGGTAAGATACATCAAAGTAAACGGACATAACAAAAATGTTGCAACCATACATATCTTTGGGCACGTAATTAGAGATGACCGTTAAGTGAATGAGAAGACATCAAGAGAAGGAAACAAAAATGTCAAAAGAGCAATCTTTGCGCAAATATTGTGTTGACATTATATAAAAAGATAAATCCTTTCTGTCCAGCAGACACGACCAGTGTTTGACATGCTCAGTCCAGCTGTACCTTAAAAGAGTACGAATAATGAATAAATGAATGAATGAATAAACAAATGAAAGAAAGAAAGAAAGAAAGAAAGAAAGAAAGAAAGAAAGAAAGAAAGAAAGAAAGAAAGAAAGAAAGAAAGAAAGAAAGAAAGAAAGAAAGAAAGAAAGAAAGAAAGAAAGAAAGAAAGAAAGAAAGAAGGAAAGAAGGAAAGAAAGAAAGAAAGAAAGAAAGAAAGAAAGAAAGAAAGAAAGAAAGAAAGAAAGAAAGAAAGAAAGAAAGAAAGAAAGAAAGAAAGAAAGAAAGAAAGAAAAAATCTAACCAGAACAGATCAATACGGAACATCAAAGTAGCCAGAGAGATAAAGATGCTGCAATTACGCCTATCTCTGATATGTAATAACAGATGACTGTTGAAGGAATGAGATCTCAAGGACAGAACAGAATTGCCAAGAGCACACTCCTTGATGAGAATATGTTATTGATATGGTGTGTGTGTGTGCGTGCGTGTGTGTGTTGTGTGTGTGTGCGTGAGAGTTAGGGACAGAGAGAGAGAGAGACAGAGACAGAGACAGAGACAGAGAATAATTACAATAAAGGAGAAAGTCCGAATTGTTTACATGTTTATTACGAGCAATCGAAAGAACATTTTCAAATGGTGTCAAATTGGTTACACATGTCTATCAGAATGGTTGTTTACGTAAGCTTAATTATACTGTACAGACTTTAGTCAATTCTTGTGTGTATTATCGTTTGGTTTTATTTGTTTGCAAACTTGTTGAATGTCGTACTGTAGTCAAGTTCATGTGTGTATGTTTTTTCATTTTCTTATTGTTCAGCGCTGAAGGCTAATCACCGCAACGCCCTTTATTTTTTTAAGTGGTTTTGTAAAGCTGACATGTACGTTATGATGTTCTTACTTTTTCCTATCTTTCCTCTTCAATATCGTTTGTGTTCGTTTTTTTTTTTTTAAGCTTTACTGAAAAAGGAACAAGCGATTAAAAAGAAAATATAGATGTGGATATACAGAAGAATAGATCGTATTTCATGGAATCAATAACAGAAGGAGGAGGTTCTTATAACTTGTACGCAAAGTTGCACAAAGCAGATAGTAACAAAAGGATTAGAAGAGAAGAGGAAAGATCGGTAAGGCGGCGCAATTATAAAGAACTGCTTTGCCAGCTTGCTTGGGCGGTCATGACTCTCTAAATCTATTATTTTAAACAGCATTAATCAAGCCATGTGACAACACCCTTTTATGTTTTGACAAAAGACTCTGTCATCTTCTCGCACTGTTTTCTCCGGGTTTTCCTTCATTTAACTTTTTTTCATTTGTGACTAATCCTCTAGTAGGTCTCCCACAGAGCTGATATTAACAGCGCTGTACGATTTGAATAAAGTAATTAAATAATCAACATCGTAGTGCACCGGGCATGTCCTCAGATACTCTATCTCCCGCAGCAAATGTCTGGTGGTGTAGGTGCTAACTGTGGCCAAAGCACATTGATTATATACGCCTCGTTCTGTTCCTCTCATTCGTTCCTCCCTCCTTGCCGGATCCACTTATAATTCCTCGTTCACACATTCTTACACAGGTTGTTTCATCTAATCTCGTGTCTTCTATCAACACTCTTTCGTAAATGGTCTTCAGAAGGATTCTTTTGTCCAGTACGAGTGTTCGCGTAGCTATTGATTTTTGTAGCAAAGAATATCCGCTCTTTCTTTGCCTTCCACTCCTGCATATCGTCGACATCACTTCCACATGAGTCCCTGTAATGTTAGTGTGTACGTGCTGATACTTAGTATCCACTCATACCCCAGTTATTCAGTTTGGGTCTCCCAAGGTATCAACTGAGAATCAGACATAAGACTGGCGATAGGCAATGATAGACGCTAAACCAAATGCATCACATGGGGAGTAAAGACTGGTGACGCCTGTATTTGTCGTCTTCAAGGTCAGACAAGGAGATATTTGAACCACCCCATGAGGACAATAAATGGAGGTACTTTGTGGTGGCTGCTGTGTTAGAGAACTGGGTGTGCATGGGAATGCCCAATGTGCAATGAAGTCTATTGTGATAATACAACAGAACAGTGTTTCTCTTCACAAAACGTGAACACAGATGATAACTTCTTTCTTTCTGATGTTTGTGATATGTTGCATTTATTCTAATATTTTGTGTGTGCGCTGCTTTCATTCTAATATTTTTTCACACTATCTCGATTTATCATTGTAACTATGCAAAACAATGTTAAGCATTCTAAAGACAGCAAACAGTTATCCCTCAACCCCTTAATTTTCCAACTTTCAGAAACTTTTCTTTCTCATAGTGTGGCCAGCAGGGACAAGTATCTTTTTCTGATATTTGTGATAGCTTGTCTTCGTGTCTAGCCTCTTTAGGTCGAGGTTTTCCAAACTGTGTGTCGAGACACTTCAGTGTGTCGGCTGCAATG